ATTGGCTTAAGTTTATTGCCATTAATCAGATCGCTGTACAGTTAGAAGTTATATAACCTGAAAAATAATCTCAGCTAATGTGTGTTCCCTATCTATTTATTGCTGAGTTTTTTTATGGTGGGAAAAATTGAGAGAGAACTATTTTGCTGTTGCAACTGATTCAAAAGAAGTATATGAGAGTTCCATTAAGTCTTAAGACATTCCTGGTGTGCTTTTTGAGGAAATTGGAACACTCTGCCAGGGACTACAGATCTACAACTTTAATTCCTTTTAATTTATTTATGAAGAAATAAGGGCACAATTTAGCTGGATGCATGTCTCATAACACCTTTTGTTTAAAATGGAACCATGCCTAAATGTGTATTTTCTTCTTGTAGGTCTTTCTCATTAAGTCGTAATTAAGTCATTGTTTCTGGATCACAACTAATTGCAAAGTGTTATTTATTACATCATTTTTTTAGACAGGAAGAAAAGAAAACTAGGACATCGCCTCGTGAAGCCATTTTAAAAGAGGAACAAGTTTTAGATCTACAGAAAAAAATTATGGAAAAGTCTACTGAACGTAAAATACAATCTGAAAATTTAAAAACTAAATTTCTGAAGCCTAATGGAAAATCAAAGCAATTATGGAAATTAGACAAAGTAAGGAAAGGAAAATAACGCTTTATTTTGCATTTTATAAAATAATCAGACTGTCCTCTCTTAATTTAATGGGTCTTTGAAGCATGTGTAGAAATTGGAATAATTGTATATTCTTGCTTTACACTTTAAAAAATTAAGCATACACCTATAGATTTAATATATTCTATATCTTGGTCGTAGAACATAAATTTCCATTCCTAACTCATATACAAGACTCATACTCAATATGCATGAAAATATGACATCAAGTTTCAAAAAAGTTAAAATTTGTATAAAACAGCTGATTCAAATGTTAATCAAGTAAATATATGTTGAAATGTAAAGTATAATTTCAACACATACTTCAGTACTTGATTAATACCTGAAACTTTTTGAAACTTACATTTTCAAAGAGAAAAATAGAAAGGACAAAAATGTTCTTAAAAAGAACATTTTTCTCCTTTTTTTCTCTTAATTGCTTTTCAAATTTACTATAATGCCATCATTTCCCAATTTTATTCCATCAATGCTCATCAAAGGCTAAAGTACAGATTGGTGGGGTGGCCATCACATACCCATTAATCCCAACTGCTTGGAAGGTATCACTCTTCTCTTTGCTGTCCTTCAGAAGGCACGAGGCAAGTGATGCAGATGTTCAAGCCAAGGTGAAATCATTAGTGAAGTGGGATTTGCATGGTACCTAGCAGAATTTGCTTTAAGATGACCTCTTCATCTGGAGGAGAAAATTGTTTTTTTAATTTAAATTGGCAACTGTAGCCTGCTACTGGATAATACGGCAACCACAAGAAGCATCCTCTCCTCACTGGTGGTTTTGGGTCTCTCACCTGCTGATCAAGGAGAGAAGTGCTCTGCTAAACACTTAATGAGGACACTGGCAATTACAAACAGCATTGTTTTCTGACAAGCAGTGCTTTAATTTTTAAATGCCTACATAGTAATTGCTTAATAATCGGTTCTAGAATTTTGTCTATGTTTGTTTTCAAATAACAGCTTTTTTCCTGTTATTTGAAGACAAAACAACAGCATCTTCTCCAATCCTATGTTACCGTGGTGGCGCAGTGGTTAGAATGCAGTCCTGTAGGCTAACTCACATCTCACTCCAGTTCGATTCTGAGCGGCTCAAGGTTGACTCAGCCTTCCATCTTTCTGAGGTCGGTAAAATGAGGATCCAGATTGTTGGGGGCAAAAGGCTGAGTCTATAAACCGCTTAGAGAGGGCTGAGAAGCACTATATAAATCTAAGTGCTATTGCCATATCCATTCGCATGAGGAACTTCAGAGAAAGGGGTCTAAAATTACATTTCCAAGCTCATCTTCACAAGGAACTTCATGGCATCACTTACTGTAACTAATTTCATTCTTTTGATATAGAATTTCAAAGGGGCCAATTTAGCGCATGTACAACTGAAGCAAGGAATGACTTATATCCTGATCCCTCTGTAATCTTTTTCCATGGAAGTTTATTTTAATTGGCTTTCCTGAAAGTGATAAAGCAAGGGGAACAATACAGGGGTTGAAAGATTCAAGATCTTCCTGTCACTCAAGTTCCTAGGAAATATTTGAAATACCAAATACCAGCTGCCCTGATGTAGAAAAAAAAAGAGGCCACATCAATTTATTGCAATAAAACAATCAGAAGAAAATTTTAGATAGCTTGATGAAGGGCCACATAAAAGGATTATTTTTTCTTGTGTCTTCCAAATCTTTTCCAAGTTTCAGAGACTTTGTAGTCAAACCATTATCAGTTGACCTAGGTGCAGGATCTTAGGGATGTATTAACAAACCTTAGGGATGTTGAAGGAAATCCTACTGGTGTATTGTGGGGCACCTCAATCAGCATTGTGGATCACTTGCAACATCTGGATGGTCTTCAAGAGTAGCCTCATGTAGAGCATGTTACAATGATTATTTTATTTAACATGTTTGAATTAATATTAGCATACTCTATATTTTGCTTTCACAGAAATCTCAAGGAGAGGATCGCTGGAGGAAATTGGAAGAAAGTCGACAACAGCAATTTAAAATGCTTCAGCATGGTCTTATGTCTAGAAATAATGCTCAAAAAATGATAGTAAATGAAGCTATGAAAACTGGAGCCACTGTTTGTATATTAAGAAATTGTTACTAGATATACTACTGCTTATTAGACATTTACTACTAACATGACTCAATTTCTGATTTCTTGAACTACTTTATACTTTAGATATGGCTATTAACTAGCAGCTCTTTTTGATTCATATATGTTGGAATTATATGTTTTTTAAACATTTTTAGCAGTTTTCAAAAGTATGTGGTAAGTTAGTGATATTTTTCAAATAAATAAAAGGGAGACAAATAATGCATTTTAATATTTTAAAATAACTTTTTTCATTTATGCAAAGATATTTCAGATGAATTTCTTCAATGATTTTTACTTTATGAGGGCTGTTAGTATTGCATAATTGTATATAATTCAATATAATATGCAGCTTTTGAACATCAGAATTTTCTACTATAGTCCCATCCCTCTGGAATATTCTCCCGAAATGTTAGGATGACCCTGATCTTGGTCTAAGGCCATGAAGATTTAGTTGTGTTACTTGGGCCTGGGGACCTGAGTGTGTTAAGGACCCTGTTTCCTGGCTGTATATATAGGAACACTTAATCAGTGCCATTTATATTTATTTTGAACTGTTTTATTTTATTCATAGTTTTAATTGTTTTTATTGTTTTATCTCATGTCAGAAATGCCGGAACTAGAAAGGGAAGGAACATTATTTAATATTTAAAAAAATAAATATTAATTTAATTAATTAAATTAAATTAAAATTAAAAATAAAATAAAATTAAAAAAAGCTTTAATAAAATATAGATTAAAAATCTGGTGGTTAGAATGCAGTATTGCAGCCCAACTCTGCCCACAGACTGTAGTTTCATCCTGAGGTTAATTTAGGCTTACATCCTTTGGTAAAATGAGCGTAGAGATTGTTGGGTGCAATATGCTGACTTTGTGAACCGCCCAGAGACTGCTGTGAAGAACCGTGTGGTGGTATATGCTATTGCTATAATTCTAGCTCAATAATGGGCCATGTTAGTGACAGAAACATTTCCGGCCAGCAAGTCATTCTGTGTGCAAATCAGTCCCAGAGGGCACTGTAAAAAATAGATACTTGTTTGGATAGTGCCCCATTCACAGTGAATATCTTCATCCTCAGGGAGAAACCCCCATTTTCCCATATAATCTTTAGTTCTAGCCAGACTAGTACATTTTATTATGTACGCTACCCAGTGTCATTTGTTGACATGGGGCGACTACAGAAACCAATTCAATTAATCATTCTGTTAACTTTATAACATTACTCCAAAAGGGGATATAAAGAACATGATCAAAACATGTGAGTTAAGATGCTCTTGAATTTCTTCTAATGCTAACAAATGATAATCCATCCTTTACCAATATTCTACATATTGTCCCATAGATATTAATATTTTGATGGATTAATTTCTGCTTTAATTCATAGGGCATAAACTTTGTATTTTCAAAACATGAATCCATTGAGTCCTTTGACAGGACCAGAGTTTCCAGTTCTTGATTCTGAGCTTCTTCTTGTACATATTTTAAACTACTTCTTTAACTTTTGACAAAAGAAAGAAGTTTGGATTCTGAAATTAATTCTTTAGTATTAATAACATATTGAGTATTTTAGAAGTTGCTAAAGCATCAGATCCATGTTGAGAGGTCAAGCATATTTTAACTGGATATACTGTTATCTCCATTGTTGCATTGATAGTAAGGAAAATATGTCACAATTGCTGAAAAGATTTACAGTAATAATTCAATAATTGATCTCTTAAAATTATACACTTTTGCCCCCATGTTTTACCCTGTTATGCTAGAGAGTTGGTTATTCATGAGATTTCATATCAAATTTAAACTCTTAACTGAGATGACTGAGATTCTGCTTAAGAAACAGTCAGATAGGAGACAGCGTGGCCTGCAACTGGAAAATGGATGAGGAAATAGGCTTAGCAGGGACCCTTCTAAAGAGAGTTGTACATTCAGACTTGCAAGACTCTATTAATGTAGCTTTACTATAAAGTAGAATTAGGTCATCTGTCTGTTCTAATTGGTAAGGACACCCTTTCTGCCTCAAATTTCTCTCATTTTATTTGTGGATGCATTAAAATAGCCCCAAAGTATATTTCAGTTTGGTGCTGGCTGTTACATAAAAGTTTTGCTCATCTCTAGAAAGGAGCTGTATCTATTCAGAAATATTAAAGCTGAGTGCAATAGGAATGGGTTATTTAAGATGTATGCTAAAACTAGATACGCTTTAGAATAAACAGGTGATGAATGGAAGTGGACTAAATACAAAATCAGCCAGTGTAGGAAATATGTATTTCAAGACAGTTTGCTCATACAGAGACATTGAACATCATTTCAAGAAAAAGGTATGACGAATGAGTATGCTGAATAGAGTTGTTGAGATCTAAAAACAAAAAGGTGAGAACTTTGAAAAAAAAGACATGTGCATTGTGAAAGTTGTCCAATTTAATCCACTATCCTCTATTTTCAACACACATCAGTACATACTTATGGGCGCAAACGGAGCCAAAACATAGCTCTATCTTTGCATTCTCTCTAGTTAACATTTGGCGAGAAACTAATTTGTTACTTTTCTTTTGAATGCATCTAAAACAGCCCTTAATCTTCATTATCCAACACTATAATTTTGAACTACAAGTGTATTTTCTATTGTATGCTCCATTGGGACACTCATCTTGAGAAGCTTTTTTGCTTTTGACTCTCTGACCCTGTTCCAGGTAAACTTGTGCTCTAACTGAGAAAATCAGTGTCACCATCTCATTTTTATACCCAAAGAATTCCCTCAGACCAGAGGGACAAACTGCTTCTACAAGTCTCAGCAGGAGGAAAAAATAACCCTTTCCCTAAAATTAGCTCAGTCTGGGCAGAAGAAAGCACAATTGGGATTACTCACTGCCTTTCAACCATGTAGGATTCCCTATGTCCCTGATCAGAATGGACAATCAAGGTAGAACTTTCCTTATAAGCAGCACAAAAACATTTTTAAGGCTGGCTTTGTCCTTTCCATGCAGTTATAGAAACAATAGATGGCCCTGTCTGCTGATTGGAAGCTTTGGAAAAGGCCAGAATTCTTTTTTGGATTGGTGCAAGTCTTGATAGATTTATTCACCGACTTCTAACACTTCAGGAGAACCAGTCCAGTGCTATCCACCCTGCACCAGCATTAATATGCTCTGGGTCACTGGTCTGCTATCAAACTTTAATGTGAGTGGAGATTCTCAGCCAGGTCATAGTTGTCCCAAAAATGCTTTTTCAAAAGGCAACTGGACTATTTTTCTTTGACGAAGAAAATGTGTAGATACTGATAGGATGATGGGTGGGGGTGGAAGTATTTCTTTGCAGTCATCTGCTTGTTAGTACTCTCTCTCTCAGAGTCGTTGAGGCCACTTGGGGGTTTATTTGTGCCCTCAGGGTCACCTGAATCAGAGTGCAATTGGTTGTGGAATCTTCTTGGAACTGCTGAAAGGGCTGCCTTGTAGACTGGAGATAGGTGCTGTCTGATTCCTCTTCTCTGTTGAAGGAGGACTGTGCAGTGCACATTAAGGAAGACAAAAGCCTTAACATTGAAGTTTACAGAGTCCCCCTGTCCCCCCCCCCCCGAGATCAGTATTTACTATTTGATTCTCACCACCCCTTGGAGCACAAAATGGGAGTGATCAGAACCCTAAACCACCAAGCTGAAACTTTGCTTACCAGGGAAAAGAAAAAGAACTAAAGTATGTCAGAACTTGTGGTTATCCTAACTGGGCCTTCATCAAATCCAAAAAAAAGATCCAACTCTTCCATTATAGACAGAAAGAAAGAAAAGAACAATAAACGTAGCAATATTCCATACATCGCAGGACTATCTGAAAAGCTCAGGAGGATTTTCAACCAACACATCGTACATGTACACCTTACACCCAAGAATACACTAATGCAGAAGCTTTCCACCCCAAGGATAAAACACCCAAACACAAACTGAGCAATGTGACATATGCAATACAATGCAGTGAGATGTGCAGATCTGTACATTGATAAAACGAAACTACTTCACAAGTACATGGCAGGACAAGATTCAGCTGTCCATCTCCGTTTGAAAGACAAAGGTCACTCTTTTGAAGACAGCAAAGTCCACATTTCGGATAGAGAGGACCACTGGTTTGAAAGAAGAGTAAAAGAATCCATCCATCTTAGAACCGAACAACCCTCCCTCAACAGAGGGGGAGGAATAAGACATCACCTACCTCTAGTCTACAATGCAGCCCTTTCAGCAGTTCCTAGAAGATTCCACAACCAATTGCACTCTGATTCAGGTCACCCCGAGGGAACAGATAAACCCCCCAAGTGGTCTCAACGGCTCTCAGAAAGAATGCTAACAACCAGATGACTGCAAAGAAATACAATCCTTCCATCCCCACCCACCATCTTGTCAGAATCTATTCTTCCATCACCCCACCATCAGAACTGATGAAGCTTCTTGGATATGAAGCAAAATATTTTTCTTCTTCCTCAAGGAAAAACAGTCCAGTTCCCTTTTGAAAAAGCACCTTTTGGATAGCAAGCCTTAAGCATTTTTTATATTCGTCCAATTGCCAGCATGCTGTAAAACAGCAAGTCACTTACTCTACTTATACATAAAAAAGCATTTTCTTTTTTTTATAACAATATCTGAAACAGTGTTGTAAGATCTTTAAAAAAACACAAATCACAAAAATTAAAGTGTCTTCTATTTAATAACAAGAAAATCCTTCCTTTGTTTTTGCTTTTTAATCTGCCAGATAAGAATAATGATCTAACATGATATGTTACTTCCAGAACAGAAACATGGTTTTCAGCTGGTTTGATGGACTACAAGACCCTTCACTATGAGAAAGTTGGCCTAGTACAATGAAACCTCCATACTAAAAAACTAAAAGAACGTATTTGAAAACCAAGGGATTATAAGACATTTTCAATACAGAACCCTGTCAAGTCTCATTATAATATGTCTCTTTGTGTGTGTGCATACACACACACAGACACCCATACATATATATCTGTATGTATGTATGTATTCTAAAGTGCATCTTTTAAGACTTGACTAGTGAAAGGACATTTTCAATTATAAAATACTTAACACAAGATATATAATAATTGTTAAATCAGAATGTACATTTTTAAAAACTAATGTTTAAATTTTGATTCACTAAAGAATAAAAGATGTCATTTACAAGAGTGTTACATCATTCTTCAGAATTATAGAGCTTTGGATGATCTTGTTACTTGCCAATCTTTAGATTTGAAATACAGTAAAGAAAAACAGTTCAGTCACGGACCATAAAATTATGCTTAGATTTTGGGAAGCTTTGGTGCACTGACAACAGGATTGGAGTCCTGCAAGAATCTCCTTCCTGCATTCTTGTAGTCATAAGTACAGGTGTGAGTCTCTGCATAGCGATGAGTTGCGCAGAAGTTGTTTCCACATCTGAAGAAAAAAACAAAGGGTTAGAAAATATCAAGACAAAAACTAAAAAAAGACTTTAAAAAAAGAATCTTCAAAAAAAAAAAAAAAAAAAAAAAAAACAAACTAAAAAAAAAAAAAAAAAAAAGAGCAACTCGAACTATATGAGCATCAATATAAGAGGGTACGTAAGTATACAATTATAAGAACATTTTAACATTTCAAACACTCATATTCAATCCTTCTGTCTAGAACGTATAATTTATTAGGAAACAATTGTTTAATAAAGCAATAGAGACCACATTTCAATAGATTATTTTCCATTGTCAGTTTTTTCAAATCTTTGTTCTGTGACTTTCTTGCCCAAGCAATTCCTCACTTTTTAAATATACTAAACATTTTCTAATGTTTGAAACAAAAAACCTGTCAGATAAGAGAAACTGTAAACAAAGATTTTTAAATACTGTATTTTACTCTTAAAATGAGATTTACAAAATGTAGGCATTCTTCTTTAGCTTTTATTATGTAATCTCATCTTCATTTAAGAGGACTTTGTTATGTTGGAAAACTGGAGCAAGAAGCACCAGTTAATGGAGGTATTTTATCAATAAAGATCATGAATATTTATTTACAATTAACTTTTCCCCTGAAAATCAAAAATGATCTCTAGCTGAATTTTTGTTTGTGAAATCTATGAGCATTCTCTATGATTCTGAACATCCTAAATACAGCATGATATTTCCAGATGAAAATGGTTTTAGGAAATGATTGGCAGAGCTATAGCCATATTACCTGGAATTTTTGCTCTGTCAAACAAGGAGAAATATCATGTTTGTAATTTTTTTTTCTTTTCTTTGAACAGAATAAAGTGCTATTTGTACTACTCAAGTGACCCTGAGGACAGATAAACCTCCAAATGGCCTCAACATCTCTCTAAAAGGATGCAAATGACCAGCCATCTACAAAGAATATAAATCCTTCCATTCCCCACCATCCAGTCAGAGCTGAAGAAGCTTCTTGGATGAGAAGCGAAACGTCTTCAAAGAAAAAAAACAAGAAACTCCAGTTGCCTCCTGAAAAAGCACCTTTGGGAGAACCATGACCTGGACGACTGAGATTCTCCATAGACTTTTTGCTATTCCAGAAATCTAGCTAAGATTGGTTTTTAAAAATTGGAATCTATTGAGATTTTCATTAAGAGAGGTTTAAATCTAGATTCATTCTGTAATAAATTACAATGAGTGAAATTGAGTTTTTAATTGTCTAGGAGAGTAACATTAAAGAAAGAATATTTATTTATTTATTTATTTATCTCTCAACCGCCCCTCTCCCTACTCACACAATGGGGAAAAAACTGATGTTTCACTGTACCTAAGGATCCTGAAGGCAAAATTCAGTAGTTCTATCAGGAACACAAATCTAATATAGAAACCAGGCTGCCTTCCCCAAGAGCACTGGGGAACCCTGTGGACTGGAAAAGAGATGATTGGTTCCCATCTTCAAAAAAAAAAGAGATCCAGGAAATTACAACCAATCAACCTGGCTTCAAAACCTGGGAAGATCTTGGAAAGATAATAAAGCAACAAATCTGCAAACCCTAAATGCAAAAAAAGTTATAACCAGAAGCCAAAATGGCTTCATCCAAACCAAATCATGCCAAACAAATCTTATTTCATTATTTGACAGAGTGATTAAATTAATGGATCAGAGAAATGCTGTGGAAATAATGTACTTAGATTTCAGTAAGGCATTTGACAAAGTAGACCACAACCTATTTCTTGGTAAGCTAGTAAAAGTGGAATAGACAACATCACCACCAGATGGATTTGTAACTGGCTGACAAACAGTACTCAACATGTAGTCCTTAATGAACTACATCCACATGGAAGAAACTAAGGTTCCATTTTAAGCCCAGTATTCTTCAATATTTTCATAAATGATTTAGATGAGGAATCAGAAGGGGAACTCATCAAATTTGTAGATAACACTAAGCTGGCAAGAAGAATCAACAACACAAAATTCACAACACAAAAACTGACAATGACAGAAAAAACAAAATAGAGAAGTAATGCTAAAATTAGTTGGAGTGGTTGTTGCAAAAATGGCAAGAGGTGGCTCTGTGTATGCCACTATCCTGAATAAAAGGCAAAATATATAACTAATAATATAGAATATAAATCCCATGACAAAAGCAATTGTGGAATTAAAAAACAAATCAAATTTACTATTATACAAACAGGCAGTCAACTCCAAACATATGACCCAAAATTATTGAATTCTGAATTAGGTAAAAATTCAAGATTTAACTGAGGACCATAGATAATAATGTTAGTGTGGTTAGTTACAGTTACAGTTAAGGATTAGGAGCAGGAAACCCCCGATTCTTCTCCTCCTGTAGGCATGGGAGCTTGCTAAGTGACCTGGGGCCAGATCCTTCCTCTGAGCTCTTATCGGTAGCAATGACAAGCCAATTGTTAAAAAACTAAAATAAAAATTGTCTCACTGCACCAGGCTGAACTCCATGGGAAGAACCGGGTGGATGAATGATAAAATAAGCAGACTCTGCATCACAAACGCCAAGAAAAACAATCTGCTAAAATTGTTGCTGTTAATGTTTACATCTCAAAACTCTTAATTAATCCTCTATTTCTTTTAATCCCTCAATTTGTTGCTGTTCTTTATTCACCATTTTATTAATTCAAAATATATGCTATCTTTTTATTTACACTACTCTGCTGGTTTCATCTCATCTCATTTATTTATAATAGTTCTCTATTTGGAAACAGTTATTATTTTAGAGGGATAAAATCCAATTCGTAAGAAAAACAGGACATTTCTTGATGTAAATTTAGTTCATGGAATTAGCAGTGAATACAATAATCCTTCAATTATAGTCCAAGCACTGCTAAATTTAAGGTCACCTTCATATTTACATACAGACAATGAAAGAGAATGATGGAGAAGAAACCTGCTTGTTAATTTTTAAATAGGCAAGCAAATTTTACAGATTGTGTTTCTTTTATTTTAGAATCTACTGGCTGAAAAGTGAAAGATTGGTCTTGGCAGTATTATTTATCTCAATACTTATTTAGCATTTATCCCAACTAATCTCTTTGTTTCACTTGAATAATGGTAAATGGTTTTAGGATGCAAATTCAACCTACCTACATTCATAGCTAGTTGCTAATCCAGTTTTCTTTCCACATAGGAAGCAATGTTTTGCAATTTTCTTTTTATGCTGAATAGAACAATTCACAGGTGGAAGATGAGTTGTATCACCTGCTTTCAAAAAAGTAAAATGTTCATAATTATTTTATACATTTGCTATGAAATAAATGATACAAGGGAAAAGCAGCTGCCAAGAAACATGGTTTTAAAAAAAAATGGCATGTTACTGACTTTTCTCAGGCAGCAGTAAATGCTTAATTTACATTTTTTAAAACAAGTTAATGTAGTATTTCAGGATGTCAAACTCGATTTCATTGAGGGCTGCATCAGAGTTGTTTTTGACCTCGGGGGCTGGGGTGGACGTGGCCAGCTCGACATCACTCATGTCAGGGGCGCCTGGGGTGGCCCGAGCGCTCTGCCAGTGAAAATGGGCTCCTGAGCTCCGTTTTCGGATGCCACAACCTCCTGCAACCCTATGCCAGTGAAAATGGAGACACCATAGGCTGGTCCTTTACTGTTTCCAGGACGGCCCCACAGGCCAGATCTAAGCGACCTGCAGGCCGCATTCAGCCCCTGGCCCTTGAGTTTGAGACCCCTGTATATTAAACAACTGTAAAGTTAAATTGCATATCTATTGGAACTATACCTGTTAATTAAAACCTGTTCATTTAAAAAACTTGCTAAATTATTGTACTGAGAATTCTTCTACATCAATATGGATAATAGTATAGTGCTAATTTGCTAATTCAAAACCATCAACATTCAGAGTGGCTAGTAAATCGATTGATCAATATTTGATTTTTTATGAAAGCATTATCTGACAGCATTATCTATTTTTGTGCACTACTTGTGGTTTTTGAGAAATCACAGAATTATACTCGAGTTTAAAAAGGCTATAAAGCATTAAAAGGTTACTTCTCCAACTTCATTCAGTTCTTCTGAATTAAGTAATAAAAAAGAGAATTAGATGGAATGTTTCCATTCATAAAGACAAGATACAGATAGAGATGGTGATAAAAGAGATAGGTAAACTGCTTCTTGCTTAGGATTTGTATTGTTAAATATGTAATTTCAGCCTGGCAGATAGTGTAGTATTATAAAAAATAAAAATTATGCTTTAAGCATTCTAAGAACAAAAAACCAGGATGGGGGTTGTTGGAAACTACTATGTGAATCAAAGTTTACTGAGTGTAATATTTATGAATATTTAGTTTATCTTAATGTACTTAAAAGTTTGTGACTGCTTTTTTAATATTAATTTTTAATATTTCTGTGTAAATATGAGCTAAAATGTGTCATGTGCTCCATACAAATCCTAAAACTAGATAAAGTTGTAATTAAACAAATGAGTCAAAAACAAACTGGTTCATTTATTTATTGAGAAAAATGATACAAAGCTAGATGTTTATATGTGGTGAAAGTATGAGAACTGCTAGGATTATCAGTTCACTTAAATTTAAGAGTTTTTCAACAATGGGATGATAATCAGCTATAAGTGTGGAAGATTCTGCCTTATTTAAAAAAATAGAATCCTGGATATTTTAACCTTGATAAAATAAACCAATTTTATATTATTTCATTTTACTTCTAACCATCTTAATATTTAGTTCGTTCAAATCCTATCATCTAATTTGATTTATCTTCATTTCTTAGTTGTCCCATTTAGCAAGCCTTTTTTGTAAATCCAGCAGGAAAAAATTTAACCAAAACACTCCCTCGGTTTGTCATTTGTAGATCTAGTTAATACCCTTTTCTAAATAATTCTCTTGGTCGATCAATTGTAAATCAATTTTCAATAATATTTCTGTCTTGTCAGATAAAATTTGTTCTACATCTAACATTTCATAAACAATATTTTTTCCCAAAGGTCTATTCACAACAGACATCACTACTAACACTGTTATTTTGACTACTATTTTCTGCTTCTATTGTTCAAAAGTTTATTTCAGTATTTTTACTGTCACAACATTTTGCATTATCTTAGTTTGTACATCTTTCTTCTACTTAAAATTTTTAATCTACTCTAGTTTCCATTTTTGGAACTCATGAACTTATCTATCTACAGGTAGTTCTCTACTTGTGATCAGTTGTTCAATGACTATTTGAAATTACTATGGTCAGGGAAAGGATGGTCCATAAAGCACTTCCAGCTGTCATAAAACATTATGCTACTCCACTAGTGGTCACACAATCACAATCTGGGTACTTGGCAACTTGTTTGCAGTTACAACTGGTTGACAAGCCCTCTGAAATAGTATGATCGCCATCTGCAATCTTCTCTGCCGGCTTCCAGGGAATCAGTGGGGAAGCTGGCATGGAAGGTTGAAAGCACCTGCTAAGAGGACTCCTTCTTGTCTGTTCCTGCACCTCACCAAAGGAGTTCCCTTCTACACATGAAGGAGAGCTGACATCCTCCTATTGGGTGGAGAAGCAGAACTGAAAAATCTGAGCTATGTTCCTGCACCCAGCTGAAGGTTTCCCTTCTTTGTGAGATAAACTTCTTTGGCAGGATAGAGAAACTGAGCTCAGAAAGATCTGAGGTTTGTTTGTACATCCCGCTAAAGGCATTTGCTTCTGCATGTGGAGGAGAGCTGAAGTCCTGCTGTGGGGATGGAGAAATGGAGCTCAGATTAGTATTATCAATACCACTTCTCAGAAGCCAGACAGCATTCTGTTATTATGTACCAGATAGCAAACCTAAATTATTTAAATTGATAAAATGTCATAGTAATTTTAAAACTGCTTTAAGAGTATCTGACTGCTTCTCCAAAGCAGTCTAATGGTGCTTTTCTCACAGACTTCAAGAGCTATCTTTAAAGCTTTATTCTGAGTTTTATAATGACTTACCCTTAAATCATATATTATACTAGCCAACCCATGATCCTCTAAGTCATTGTTTCATAGAGATTTCCTTACCAGATTTCTCAATGCCTTCAACAGTAACAGAATTTCTAAGGTACTGCCTTCACTGGAAAAGTTGGGATAGATTCAGAGATGTATCTGCCTTGAACACAGCTCATGTTCAACTGTATAGCAAAGTCAAACATCAGCACAGGAAATGTTTTATGACATTTTGTATGTCATAAAATGTCATAGTACTTTATAAAACCTTAGTAAGACTATACCAGGAATACTGCATCCAGTTTTGGTCACCATATTACAAAAAAAGATATTGAGACTTTGGAAAAAGTGCAGAGAAGAGCAACTTCGGCACCGTAGGCTTCGTGGACGGTCTTTTTAGACCACCAGCCCTGCGTCTTCGTAAAAGCCGCTTTGACAGCGCAAACCGGCTGTCTGGTGGCTGAAAAAGCTCCCCTTCGGGAAAAGAAGGAGAGGAGAGCCGGTGGGTGAGAGTAGAGCTCCCCAAAAGCCCTCTGGAATATTTCCAGAAGCTTGGAGGGTGAGAGCTCCCCAGCCAGCCCGCCAAGAAGCTCCGAAGCCAGGATGACTCTGAGAAAGCAGAGCGAGAAGCCGTGATCCGATCCTGCTGTCAAAAGTGAGTTTGACTGATTACAAGTGCAGGCAGAACGGAAACAGGAGAACAAGCTTTAAAAGTACAGAGCTTAACTCCGGAGTTACTTTGTTTCAAACTGAATTTCATTGAGCTGGAGGCTGAAGATGGCGTCTTTGTTATGGTTTTGAAACTGAAAGCCAGAAACGAAAGTGCTTCTTGAGAACTTTGCGCTGGGAGAGTGGATTAGCTGCTTATTAACTGCTGGGAAGTGAGAGCTTGCGGAGGAAAAAAAACTATCCTGCCTGATAAATTAGAGACTATAAATTACAAACATTTTAAAGTTGTTTAAGAGACTTTGTGGTGACTATTTAGTTTTTAAGCATCACTGAATATGCTTTGTCCACAGCTTGACTCCTCAGTTATCAGTTCGGAGATGAAGTAAAACTCCCTCATGTTGTCAAGATGCAGGAGCTTTGCCTGATGAGGAAAATGTACTCATCCCACTTTTTGTCTTATCAGCAGTACATGCTCCTAATCCAATGTATGATTTTGATGCAATCTTATATATCCAAAAAAGTATGTTTCCCATAAATTGAATATATTAGAAAACTAAGTTAAAAAGAACTCAGCACAGAAGAAAAGGCAATGAACAAGACAGAGAAGGTGGTCAAAACCCAAACTTAAAAAAAGATGCATCTGCTACGGAGGATGAGAAACTGATGGGACTCCTTTGCGGTGAGTTATGAAACTGATACGGCTGAGAAGGAATGGATTCCTACTTAAAGTCTCAGCTCTACAACCTGATGAATAGGTGAGGAGCTGATAAATGATGTTTTATCTTATATTGGTTTTATTGTACTTTATTCGTTTGGTTGCTATGAGCTGCCCAGAAGAGCCAGTGTACAAGTTTAATAATTTATCATTATTCCCGGTGTTATTAATAAATTATGGATGGTCACACAGACAGATGTTTAGAATGGATGTGGCATTTTTATCCACTTACTGCGTCCTTCCCAAAGACCTGGGATATCCAGATAGTATTGTTTGATTGCAATGTCCACTATGCAGAATTTGTTCTCTTTCCTATTGACAATTGTTAAGGTGCTTTTCTGTTTGAATTCTAATGTCTCAGAACACTTTAGCTTTTTCAATTATTTTATTTATTTTGTGGTTCCACCAGCTTGCTTGCAAGCAAATAGCATTTCTTGCAGATACCCAATGCACCATTGTTACTATTTTGTCATGTCACTGTTTATAGTCAATCTATGCAATCTTTTTGCAACAGCTAAGCAGATGATCCACTGTTTCTTCAGCTTCTTTGTAGAGGCAGCTTTTACTATCTGTTGCTCTCTTCTGGCTTTGTATGCATTTGTTAAGGCTTGGTTGTGCATAGCCAGAATTAACTCATCTGTCTTTTCAACTTTCCTGATTTTAGCCATTGCAGGATTATGTTATTTATCTGCTTTGCCTGCTAGTTTTCTTTTTTAAATGTACCAGCCATGTAGTACTTTGTCTTGCCATGTGACTCTTTTCTATTTTTCATTTGTCTTTCCTGTGGGCCAGTTTGGTCTTTCCTATTAGACTTCATGTTGTACTAACTCCAATGCATCTTCTTCACTGTCAGATAAAGAAGAGATTTAAAAAGATCCCTTTTTCTTCTTTAAGAATCTGGTATACTTGCAACATTCCATGCCCACTTGTGATTCTTGATAAGTAGATCTGTCAATGTTACTGCATGGATAAAAGGTATGATTTATTGTCATTGTATTTCTGGTTTTCCAATCCAGGGCACTTAGTTCACTGAGTCCAATCCTCTATTCCAGCTGTGTATCTAATGATTGGGATTGTCCTGGTTTATTGCCTTGATGGCATTTCTTCCACTGAATTTGAACTTTAAGATTTTCTTTAGTATCAAGATGTATTCGCTACTAACCTTCTTTTTAAATTTTATTTTATATAAAATTTGATTTACTTTGAAAAATAGAAACTTAAAATATAAAAATTATAGCAAAAAGGGAAAGTGGGGAAAAGGATCAATAGATAATTTATAAAGTGACATCCCCCCCACAAAACAAGTTATTTCTAATTCTCCTCAACAGTAGTTATGATAGTAAGCTTTTGTGAAAGATGCATCTCTCAATAGTAAGCTTTCCCAGTCTATCACCATTGATCAGCTAGTGTGTCTTCCATTGTGCCACTAATCTTTACTTTTTTAAAAAAATATTTCTACTGACTCCTGTTATTTCTAGCTACTTGATTATCCAATCATGTAGCAGGAGGTCAAATGCCTTGCTGTAATCAATCTAAGCTACATTAAAGTTGGTCTTCCTTCTCCTGTAGTCTTCCAAAACTATCCAGTCAATTAGGAGCAAATCTTTTGTACCTCTGCTGTTTGGGCAGTTTCCTTTCTGCTTAGGTGGAAAGAGTTTGTTTTCAGAATAATAGAGTTGGAAGGGACCTTGGAGGTCTTCTAGTCCAACCCCCTGCTCAAGCAAAAGACCCTATGCCGTTCCTTATCAGTGGCTATCCAAGTATCTTTGTGTGAAGACAGATGCAAAGAATGGATTAAGCAGCTCTGCTTTCTCTCTACTGCCCATTACTTCCTTGCCATCTTCTCTCATTAGTGGACTAACCGTATTCTGTTATTTTTGTATTATTTTAGATGCTCAGGTATTCTTTGTTTCAACTGCTTCTCTTTTTCAGAGGGCTTTATTCTTTCTGAGAAGGCAGAGGAAAGGATGCCTTGTTTGGGAATGAAAACAATTCAACAGCTATGCTGGTTTTTTCCATTGCTGACTCCCCCAGATTTGTCTCTAAATACTCAGCTACTTTTGACAAGAATTTGATTTCTTTGCCCTGTGTAGACTTTTGCAGTTCTTCCAATTCTGCTTCTATGAATATTTCATATTATAAATCAACTTTGGTCTGCTAGTCTCTGTTCTGTAACTTCCCCCCCCCCCCAGAACTGGTGCCTTCTTTGCAGATATTCTTGTTGGATTTGATTTGTAATAGATCATTATTGCTTTGCTTTTAGTTTTTGTATATTTGTGATAGGCAAGCCACCTTTCTTCCAGTGGTCTTGCAGCTGCTGGCCCTGATTCCTCAGTCAATAGTTTTGAGTCTTATAGCCTCATTTGTCACCAGATGTCCAGGAACTCCAACACCTAATGCGGAGCTTGTTGACCTGGGTGATGAGTGATCTGGTATGGGTATCTGTACACTTATATTATATTGTATATTATAATGTATATTGTTTATGGAGAGAGACACTTCATCTGGCTCAGTATGGTTGAGCCTCTGGTATATGTCTCATTTTCTTAAAACTTCTCATCTCTCTCTCACACACATACTCTTTCCTGGGCCTCCCTGCTCTTGCATGCACTTTGTGCCTTTACAAAGATAACGGGACTGCCTGGATTGCCTTATTAAGTGATGCGATCACTTGACATCAAACACATTGCTTAGCAATAGCAATACTGAACCTAATTGCAACTGTAACTCTATAGGCTTACACTGGCTAGTTATGGAGACTGTTTTTCACACTGAATAATGAGAATTGAAAACCACGTATCTGCACTTGATGCATAGCAGCAGCTAACTGAAGGAGTCTCTACACTTGCAGATATCTGACATTTGATAAATCTATGATTTACAGAAAGTCTTTATAGTGCTTTCCTATTTAAATAAACACAGAAAGGAGAATTGTATAATTCTCATTTCTGTGTTTATTTAAATAGGAAAGCACTATAAATGGCAATTTCTGAAGATTCCAGATTGGTTACTCACCCATTCTTTTTCCTGAAGCCACAATATTTCCATTCAATCCAACTCCAGGAGACTAAAATATAAAGGGTGGAAAGAATAATGAATGTGAACATAAGTAATGAATATATGAATTAAAATCTTTTAAATAAATTTCTTCTACAAATCTGAGTCTTAAATTTTTGGTTGCAAACAACTGTATTCTAATACTAGAAAAAAAAAAAAAGAAATGCAAATGTATTGTGTACACAACTTAATAAAGTTCATTGTATAACATGTATGGTATAATTGTATAATAATACAATACTAAAATAGAGAATACAATTGGATAGGATATCACACTTTCAGCATAGCATGAAGGATTTTCAAAAATCCAATTAAGCATCAGCATTAAATGAATTTAACTAACACTTATATCTCACTTGTTTTTTTCACAACTCAAGCTGCCTTCTACCATGGTACCTCAGTACTTATCATTAATTGGTTCTGGGAGGCGCATGAGTACCAAAAACGATTTGTAAAATTATTTGTTATTTATAATCGTGATAATTTCTGCTAAGCAATTTATTATTTTCACAAACTCAATCTGTTTCAGAGTTTTGTCCATTATCAACTGCAATTATCCAGATCCTCTTTTTTTTCCCCCTTTCTTGGAAAAGAGGTACAATATTTGCCTTTACGCTCGACTGCTTTGATTTGTCTTTATACTTGACTGCTATGATTTGTCAAAGATGTGAAAAGTTCTCAGAAATGAATCTTCAGAAATTCTTAGATGTAATTGATCTGGTATTGAAGTCTTCAGTTCCTTTGATGTTCCTAACAATCTCCTTACTTACCTTGGATTGCCACTTCCTCCTTAATTGGTCTTCTTAGGTTCATTTGAACAGTTTTCCCTTTAGAAAGAAGACCGAAGCAAAGTAGTCGTTGAGAAGCTCTGCCATCTCATCACTTGTTACCATCTTATTTTTTCAGACAGTGGCCCCACCCCTTCCTTTTTTTCATTACTGACAGTTGACTTTAGCTTCTCTTGTGAGCCTAAGTTCCTCTTGCATTCCAGCCTTTATGACTTGATATCTGCAAGTATTAACTACTTGCTATACCTTTTCTGGACAATTGTGTCAGTCTACCATTTCCTTAAGCACATATGAGCACTTTCCATTGTTTCCTAGTTTATGCCTAGTTTTTCTTCCCAGAGGATTCATATGAGATTGTACAATTCTACACACAAAATCACAGAATCATAGGGATGGAAGAAATCTTGGAGGTCTTCTAGTCCAACCCCTTGCCCAAGTCAGAAGTCCTTATTCCATGCTGGAAAACTGATTATTCAAACATTTTTCTTGTGAAAAATGTTTGAATAACCATTTTTTTCATTTCATTTTCCAGATTTTCATGTATGTATACCTTCATTCAGATCTTTTAGTTTTCTCTTGTTCCTCCATAACCCTTGCTATTTCATTCATTCCATCTTCCATAATCATGGCCAGACAGGTCCACAGATATTACCTTGGCATTGGTCAATCAAGGTTTTCATTTGAATCTATCCTAAGCCAAAAGAGCTTTTATTTCTATGAGTTATTTAATCAATATTTACCATATTAAAATGAATACTGATGTATTAGCTCTCACAATTGTTTGATGGGATTTTAATATTGTATTATTTTTTAACATAGGCTGGCAAATAATTTCAATTTTGTGGATCGCCAGGGAACCTCAGACCACATTTTGCTATAGTGAATGGAGTGGCCTCTTATTATTACTCTCTGGTATATAATGGCATTATCAAACAATGTGAAGGGAAATCAGCTTGATTGAGTAAAGCATTTTTAAAGCCAAATAAGGGGAAAGCCTGACTCATTATCATCTATAGTTATCCAACTTCCTTGTAATTACAGGATGTGAAACTGTTCAACATGATCACATTCTGGTGAATATGCCACAAGCATTACTAGAACTCATCTGAAATCCAGAAACTATGTTCATTGTATTCTTTGCAAGCTAAGATCATTGATCGCGGCCCTCCCAAGGTCCATTTTCACTGGCAGAGGCACTGTGGGCCAGTCCTTCACTGTTTTCAGGGCGGCCCCACAGGCCAGATACAAGCATGCCGCGGGCTTGAGTTTGACACCCCTGACATACACAATACATGAGTATCTTCAGGTAGTGGCATTATACCAAGAGGTTTTTATGTGAGCTAAAAAAACTAATAACCAAGAGTTACAGTTCTGCATGTAAAATTGTATTATGTACTTCTTGCAGATGTGCTACAGTCATAGGCAGCTAAGAGATGGCGCATATATTATTAGTATCATATATTTTTCATGGTACTATACAGCAAGTCAACTTATGATTGCTTGTTCAGTGATCGTTCAAAATTATGGTGAATGGAGTTACGACCCCTTCCTGAAATTATGGCTGTTGCAGCACCCCCACAGTTACATGATCAAAATTACAATCACCTGCAGAGGTGCTGCAACTCCTCACACTTGCCTATCCCAATCTATGCATTTAAAAATGCTAGGAATGCTTTATTGGCACAAGTCAAAGCATAGACACGTACACATACACACGCACACGCACACACAAAGAGCCAAGCTTCAGAAGTCTCCACAGTGGGTCACAAAGCAGCTGCTCTGCAGGAAGTTCCAAACACCCTAGAGACTCCCACACAAACACACATGAACCCTCAAACACCTGGGAAACTCTAGCTCAGCACAGATGCATGCAATCTTCTATGTCAATTGACCTTCACCACTTTCATCTCACTATTTACCGAGGCATGTCCAGCCTGGCCCTTTCCGGAAAAAATAATAATAATAATAATTGAGGAAGGCAGCCATTCATTTGCAATGTCTTAAAATGCCCCTTTCCTCTGCTCCCAGGTGGGGTGGAACACTGGAGATGGTTTCAAGCATTCTAGCTCTGCCCTCAAAGCATGAGGCAAAAGTGGGACTGTTGTAGAGGGCCACAAGCCCTGGCACTGTGCTTTGCTTTGCTGACACTGCCCTATCCCCCTCCCCCCACGCCCCTGCTGATACCCCATCTGCTGCCACATTACAATCTGATCTTCGTGGGGCTTCCCTTGAGAATAAAGAATCACCTGCAGAATGTCACAGTGCCATATACTGTGTGATACGCAATGCATTCTCTCTCTCTCTAGTCTCTCTCTTTTGAGATTTATTTGGCACCCTCTGAATTTCAATCTTAGTAATTACTGTGGTTCATTCTCATCTATCATTTACATCACTGTTTCCCAACCTTGGCAACTTCTAGGTTTGTGGACTTCAATTCCTAGAGTTTTCATTAATGCCCATGTTGGTGGTGGAATTCTGGGAATTGAAGTCCGCACACCTGCAAACTGCCAAGATTAGGAAACAGTGGTTTATACAGATTGGGATTTATAGAGATTTCCTGTACTTTCTTATTCCTCACCAACATTTTTTTGAGATGATACAATGAACATACACAGGAAAGACTTTTGATTTCCAACAGAAATATTTTTATTATTTAAATACTCTTTTTTAATAAATGTGTAATTGATTGTATGAATCTATTCTGTCAACATTGTGTATCTCTACCCACCATTAACCTATCAATAATTTGTATGATAATCCTATAATCCAAAGCTCCCCAACTTTTCTGGCGGAGACAAGCGAGAGGGGAGAGGGATGGTCTGGGCAAGCGGTGGGCACACACACTTGTCGCTCACACAAATGGAGCTTTGTGTTCGTGCACTTGCTTGCTGCTCACGCAATGGAGCTGCGCATACATGTGCCATTTGCTTGCCACTTCCACAGCCCAGTTCTGAATGGGCCACAGCCAGGGCATTGTGGACCTCTGCTATAGTCTAGTCCTATAAACACTTCTATCCACTATTATTATTTATTCTAAGTTTTGTTTGAGTACCTTCTCCTTCTGCTTCCCTTTCTTTTTCCAACATCCTTTACAACCTCTTGTTGATTCAGCCCAAACTTTGGGAATGAGAGAGCAGAATCTTCTCAGGTCCAATTCAAATAACTTTTGGTCAACCTTCCTTTGGATAGGCGCTGCTATTGGATGGTCTTTTATTGCCTGTTGGTACCACTGGGTCCCCTGCCAGACTTTCCAGGGCTTTCTGGCATTGTCAGAGGTTTACTGCTACAGACAGTGTTTGACTGCTGCTGCAGAAGCCAATCTTGTTGACTTATGGCTCTGGCTGTTGCTGGATTGGCACTTCCATTGCAGGGACGATGCAGCTGCTCTTTGTATTGCTGGCTTGAATAGACTGGCTTAACTACCACGGCTGCCACTGATTGAAGGGGGCTGCTGATACTATCCATGGCTTTTCACTTTTTCCTGGACTTTCATGTCTCCCTATCTGCAGTCATGCCATTGCTTATCCTTTCTCTAATTCACATATCCTCCACTTCATCACCCAACATAATTACAAGTACCACACTGTCCTTTTTATCAGTAGCTGTGCTGCAAGCCATAATAAAGGAAAAAGGTAGAAAATGATGCAGGAATGCATTTTCTGCATTGTGTTTCTTCCTGCCTTGTGGCTTTTCATTGTAATTTAAAAAAATTGCTCCGCAAAATCAGTAATGTAAACTTAACTGACCTCTTGCACTTACCTCACTGACAATCAGGATTATTTTATTGTGGAACGATCCTTAATATCGTTGGCTTGTAATTATGAGTAATCTGAACTCCTAGTTTTTAATGATGAAGTCATTTCTATCTCCCATTGAAGTTCTATTTGTACAATTTGTATGTTCGCACAAGAAAAAAACCCTTTCTGCTTTATTGCTTCTTAAAAATTGTTCTATCTGTGCCCTTTTTTGTCTGATGCATTCTTGGGGGAAAATAGGGCAGAAGACCGTCCCCTTTCTCACAATTTACGAGTTCCTTCTTTTCACATTGGGGGCGAGGTCATATGAATTTTGCAGGCTTTTTTTTTTTTTTTTTTTTTTTACAGATTTTGTGCCAATGGATGAATAGTGAAGGCAAGTACTAAGAAATACTGGTAATCTTCAATTTACAACAGTTCACTCAGTGACTGTCTGAAGTTAAAACAACACTGAAAAAGTGACTTATGACTATTTTTCACACTTATGACCATTGCAGTATCCCCATGGTCACGAGATTTACATTCAAATGATTGACAACTGACTCACATTTATGACGGTTGTAACATCCCAGAGTCATGTGATCCCCGTTTGCAAACCTTCTGACAAGCAAAGTCAATGGGGAAGCCATATTCAATTAACAACCGTGTTACTAATTTAACAACTGCATGATTGACTTAACAAATGTGGCAACAAAAGTTTTAAAATGGGATATAATTCACTTAACAAATTTCTTACTTACCGTGTTTCCCCAAAAATAAGACCCTGTCTTATATTTTTTTTGAACCCTGAAATAAATGCTTGGCCTTATTGCCATGCGCTCAAAAGCCTGATTGGGCTTATTATCAGGGGATGTCTTATTTTGGGGGAAACAGGGTAACAACATAAATTTTGGGCTCAATTGTGGTAGTAAATGGAGGACTAACTAGTTATTCTGATCAGAGGACCTCTCTGCTCTCTTGCATGTGATCACCAATCACATAAATGGAAAATATATGAATAGGTTCTGTAAAATGATTCTTCCATTCAAGTCTAAGGTCAGATTATATATGAAGAAAAAATAAATTCATGCTTTTGTTTCTTTTCATCTTCCCCCTCAAGGTGTGAGAGAGCATTATCTGGAAATTGTTACTGAATGACATCTGAACAATGTCTGTTTATCTTATAATTGGGAAGTAAATGCCAAATATTTCAACCTCAATGAAACACGTCTGAGAAACATGATTGAGACAAATGTTCAGGACATATGCATTGGCTAAATATAGGATAAATATACAAAACATATTATCAACATGTTAAAATATAAAACTCACAGTTAATGAATATGTGCAAAACATTTGAATGTAAAGCACTTTGAAAATAGAGTGTTCTAATACAAAAAGTCTAAAATTGGCTTCTCAATCATTTTGGAAATGTATTACGATTCTTCTAAGGGAAGGAATATTTATATAGTAACTTCACAGTAAACTACAGTGTTTACTAATAAACCAGACATAATTTACAAATCTGTCTGTAAAAATAAAACATGACTAAATCTGCCTCAGAAAAATGGCCATTGTTTAAAAAAACTAACACATCCAAGAATGGAACATTTATTGAATGGTAACTTTTAAATTTTGAAAGCCAAAACCCAATCTTATTTAAATAGTATTGATATACATTGATGTTTTCCAATTTAACAAGTTGCCAGTTTTGATTCTTGACCAATAAATAGGGAATAAACCCTACTACAAGTACAAATCTCATCTTTGTAAAAAAAATAAATAAAGTATGAGTACTTACTAAAAAATATCCAGGCATGTCATTGGGAGGAGAAGCTGTTCTAAAACTTTCTTCTTGAAAATGTTGAAAGTTGGTAGTTAATGAAATACCAGAAGTCCGAAACCTGCTTGTGCCACAGGAATTCGGTAAGCCATCTCTATTTGTGCCTCGGGTAAATGAACTTAGCAAACTTATGTTATTTACAGAAACAACAGGGTCTTTGGAAGCCTTAATTGCTACTTCTGTGATATCCCTTGCCTCCACTTTAGAATGGGGATCAGGTCTTTTGCTAGGTAAATCTAAACCAATGCCATGAAATCTAGATGTTCTTGAATAAGAGGAATCTGCTAAACTGTGCACCTCCAATGACTGTAGAATATTTGGAGAAATAGTGGGCCTCAAGCCAGCTTCTTCAAAATATTTGGAGTGAGCTTGAGATTTCTGAGGACTGTAATGTGCCATCTGTGATGAACAATGAAGAGGTGACAGGCGTGTTTTCTTAAGACTAAACTCATGAGAGTTAAAAATACTATTATCTGCTGTTGCAAAAGTCAAAGTTTTTGCGATGGATTTGTTTTGATGTTCCTGTGGTAACTGAAGCGTGGTATTCCCTTCTTCTGATCCAGACATTTTGCTGTATGAGTCACTGCAAGTTGCTTCTGATACCAAGGCAAGAGGCTCTTTGTTTGGTAGAACATTTTTTTCTGCAGTGTACAGATTTACATTGGTGAGATCTGGATACAAGAAAGGACATCTTTCATTGGATGATGTACCACTTTGTGCATTTTTTTCCAAATTTGCAAGTGCAGTTGTCACTTGAGGAACTACACTGTTTTCAGAAAGTTTTGCCTCTCCCTTTTCCACAGATGATACCTTGGAAGACAGTGCCATGCTGTTAATTGAGTGAGATGGTGAAATACTCTCCCATTTGTCTTTTTCTTTAAGAAAGTTTCTAGTAATAGATGACACTTTTTTATCAGTATGTGCTAGGGTTGAAAAGGCATTCGGAGATGTTCCTGAGTTATGTAAATTTTCAGGAGGCAGACAGGATTGCCCAATATGAGGAAGTGCTCGTAGAAAATTATGACGAACAGCTGCAAGCGAGCCACTAGATGGATGAAGGACCACTGGAGAATGGGGGTTCACTTTGATCTTAGGCTGTGGGAAAAAATGGAAAAGTGGTTAGTTTTAACTATAGTATAGTGCAGATAGCTAACCTTTTTGTCGTCATGTGCTGAAAGCGTGTGTGCGTGATAGTGCATGAGCATGCCAGCACCCATAATGCAATGTGCGCCCCCCCCCGTGCACATGCGTGCATGACCCTCGCTCCCGTGCATGCACATGCAACCCCCCCCACGCTCCCCATGTGCATGCGCAGGTGACACCTCCCGTCCGTTTTTGGCCTAGCAGGCCTCCCTGCAGCCTCCTGGGCCCAAATACGGGCCATGCATGCTCTGCCCCGCCCATGTGCACACAACTCCATGCATCCCGAAAATCAGCTGACTGGCAGGAGGCACTCAAGCACATGTGACGGCTTGTGTGCCCAGAGAGGGCTCTGTGTGCCAGCTGTGGAATGTGTGCCATAGGTTCGCCATTATGGTTATAGAGCAACTACAGAACCCCAATGTATTTCATCACCAGTTTTGCACAGTAGCATTAACTCTCTTTTATATTTCAATTTGAAGAATTTCATAATACTTAAATATTATTCAATATACAGACTCAAAAAACAACTTGCTTTCCTTTCAATAGTAATTCTAATCAGTAATCTCTATCCAATTAGAGCAGGTTTTTTTCAAATTTTCTCAGGCTGTTAAAATCTATTTGGTAAAAAAAAAAAATGGATCAAAAGGCAAACATCTAGTGGTAGAAAATAGACTGATTTCAAGTGAACTATTTTTTGTCCTTGGCTCCTTGTCCAAAGTACTTGTCCAAATAGTTCTACAGATCATTTGGAAAAATTCTGGATTGGAATGATGAAAATATCACAATATTTAGTACTCTTTAGGCTAAAAATGACATATGATAATAAACCAAAAATGATAGCTTCCTGACACATTGTAATTTCATGACACATTCATGGTTTTTTTAAAAGGAAAAGTACATTATATTGGTAAAATATGGCACATGGATTCTGTACAGCTTATGTAAATTAATTTTGGATATTCTACTGTATATTGAGTAAGATCTGTTATGGAACAAGTTATTTAAAGAGGTTTTTAATAGTTCTTTACTGATATCTAGAGATGATCTTATATTTTATGACTTTACCTTTTTATTAAGATTCATGTTTTCCATCTTTGCCTTTAGCATCTTCATTTTATTCATTGTAATGGAGTTCTCAATAATCTGTTGCCCAGAAGGAGATATTTCTGTATCTTCATCATCATCAGCATACAAATTATAAACAGAACCACCACTGTGGCAAGAAGAAAATTCAGATGTGTCCTAGTACTGTACATGTTAACACTTTGTAAGTCAGAATTATAAAAATATAGCAAAAGTGTTTCTGAAACAAAACAGTGATATTTTTATATTTCAAAAGCATTTTTTACATCAAGTATCTTTTAGATCTAATTTTTACTTGAGAACTGTCCTTATATGTGCCAAATGAAATAGCACCTAATAAAAAAAGGGGACTCTCGATATGTGACTATATATACGTGTAGGAAAAACATGTAGAGATTGTTAAGGAATGTAACAATCTCCTTTTCTCTTTTCCTTCAGATACCATTCACTGGTCATTTTTCATTGCAAGCATATGGAGAGAGTATTTCCTGCTTTAGTTTTGATACAGAAAAAAGGCAATACCTCTGTATTAATATAATCTAATTAAAGTTACTCCTCTCTGAAACTAGACGCTGTGAATGGGGAAATACATCAGTCATGAACTGGAAATTTTACTGAAGTTACATGTAGTCAGGTAACCCCAGAAGCTATTTTTTCATTGAATTATAGGGCTGGAAGGGATCTTCTAGTCCAACTCCCTACCCAAGGCAGGATACCCTTATTGCATCACGGACAAATGGTTATCCGATCTTTTCTTGAAGACCTCCAGAAAAGGAATACCCACAACTCTGGAAGGTAAGCTGTTCTGTTGATTAAATGTTCTTATTCTTAGAAATTTCTCATTAGTTCCAGATTGGAATAATGACTGAGTTGCTGGTCTCAATTGTGATTCAGGTAGAACAGTTCAGTTTTAAACTCAAATGAGAAGCAGGATTCAGAAAAATGTATCCCCATACTCTTGTTTAGTTAATATTGAAACTATCTTTAATGCCTGTTTTTGACCAGATTGGGATGAAATATAAACTAGAATTTTATAAGAGAATGACTACTATATTTAATATAAGCAAAATGTGTTTATGACAGAATATGATGAAATCTGAAGCAATGAAAGGTATAAGTAAGGTATACTTATGACAAATTTTAGTCAAATATATTGGGATGAATTTTCTGTAAACAGAAAAAATTTAAGAAATAAGAAAAAATAATTCCTCTTTCTACAAACAGAGCTGAGGAAATGAAACAGAAAGACCCATTAAATGTTATTGGTGCCCTGTGGTATGACAAATGTTTCAATCACCGAGTTAAATATTCTTCATTCTTGTCTTCACTATAGCATTTGGTCTAAATAATAAAATATTTTTGACCACATCTGCTATGGTCCATTTTTTTGCAGCATTTATTCAAAATTATCCCATTCCTTCTTATGATCCAATATACTGGTCTCATGTTTTTATAACTGCAAATTAAATCATTACTTAGTTGTAAGATTTGTTATTTGAGAACATGGCCTCTTCAACATCTGCAGAAAATGGGATTGAACTTTTGATGTTTATTACCCACCCCGAGCCTGGTTTTTTTTTTTGCATATATCAAAAGATATATGCAAAAAAACCATCGGCTGCCGCTATTCCATGAGCTCATTACTGTATATTTTCAAAAATCAATTTCTCTTATTTAATCACAAATTTAATGCATTTTATAAGGTTAATCAGTATAAAATTATTGGGTGATCTTTAAAAGTCTTTAGTCATTTATTTGAATCTCAATTATTTCGTGTTTAGTCAATACAAATATATTAAAAATCAAGCAGGACCAGATATTGTTATCACACAATTGGCATTAAACAATTTTTGAGAATACATGTTCACCAGCGACTAAAAACATTTTTATTCCTATGGGCTTTTAGACTTTAAGATAACATTAAGCAAGCTTTAGTATATAAGAGATCGTTCTCATTCTAACAATGCTAATTGGGACCAGCTAGTTTTCAAATTTAAACATTTGCTGAACAAGTGGTTATTAAACAAGGGCCACCTATATTCGTCTTATATTTATATGCTTTATTTATTGTTTGAATTTTTATTTTATGTTTTAACTATAATTCTGCATTGTATTTTTCTTCTATTTCTACTATTTTTCTTAATGTCAGCCCATCTGATCATTATTTTTGATGCCAATATCATACATTTAATAAATACCATACCCTCTTTTAAATTTAATACACCAGCAAATGTCTTAAGTTTCACTCTGCCCTAATGTGATTAATCTCTCATTTATCATAGCAACATTTTTATTCTTTATTATGTACTTTGTTTTCTTCATTTTATATTATGCTTTTATGACTATTTTTAATAGATAAACATATAATGGCTCTGAAAACTCTTCCAGGAGCAGAATGCACTGGAACCTGACTTAATTGTAAGTGTGCTTAGATTTTTCAATAACATTTGACTATCCTTAACATTACAAATAACATACCTTAAAGATTCAGATAATGGTGTTAAAGTTCCATCTCCCCTGTCCACAACTCGAAAAAAATTCAGCTGGTCTCCTTCCTGGTAGACCAAGAATGTAACATGTTTACTGGATGGAACCTTTTCCCAGACATCATCTCGACAGGGCCCCATATATTCTGCTATTTCTTTAATTGGGTCTTCCAAAGGAACTACCAAGAAAAGAAACATGAAGAAAAAAGATGGTTTGAAAGGGACGTTTTCATCTGAATGAAAACATTCAGCTGGCATGAAGGACATGTTTATAGAAACTCTTGTTTGTAATGAACCAAGTAAAGCATTATGCAATCTTATTAAATAAATCAGATTTAGTCACAAAACCCTATTTTAAAATAGAAATAAAACTGGCTTTAGGTTGTTGAATATCAACAAACATCTCTACTGTTTTACAAAATTTAAAGTTTTCTTTTTATAATTGGAAGATCATTAACATCAAAAGCATCATGGAGCATATAAAATCTCAGGTACAGACCAACAGCATCAACGCCCTTTCCATAATTGCATAACTCTCTGGAAAAGTGTTAGCTATAATCTTCAGAGCCTGGTATTTTCTCCAAGTCTCTGCTGATGTACTATAATCCACAATTCACAAGTTAGGTGTTTCCATTCAAGCATAAAAGTGACATAGTGAAATAAACAAGAACAAATTTGTTGTCACAGCCGTGAAAACATGTGGTAAAATTATGTACAAGTAGTCCTTGACGTACAATTGTAATAACTGAGACATTAAGTTGATCAATACGTGACTGCACTTGATTTTATAATCATTTTTGTGGTGGTGGTAATGGGTGTTTTTTGCCAGAAACCAGTATACACCTAAAATACCCAAAAAATTGCCAAAAATCAGTACTGGGTGACTGAGATCACTTGACCATGGTGTAGGTGTTTGTGACCACTTAAATTTTGAAAAAAAAGTAGCTGTGGTACAGCTGTAACTTCAATAATTGCTAAGTGACCAGTCATTAAGGATTGCCTGTACTACTTTCTCCTATCAATCTTGATGAGATATAACAATGTTTCATTAATGTTCACTAGAACACGTTCTCAGTATATCGGTTTCAGACATATGGTGTGAAATCTTTAGCAAAGAACTAAACCAGATTCAGAGGATGTAATAGGTTGTAAGAATAACCCTTGAGAAAGAGGAGGAAGAGCTGCAACCAAGACAATGGTCAGATAAAAAAATGTAAGTAGAAGACAAAAATGCAATTTAAGAAAATTTCTCAGAAATAACCTTCCCTAGTTTTCTTAAAAATAAAGGGGAGGCACTTTCTGGCTTGCAAAATTCTGTTACTGTAATCCTAAAAGTAAAATAAATCTAAAAAATAAAATAAAAGCAGTACTAGCATTCAGAACTTTGATTTTTCTACTCTTGTCTATCATGAAGGGTTGGCAGACAGAACAGATATTTATTTATATTTGCTGAATTAGTCATTTTGAAATTCACCAGCGCTGTAATATTTAATGATAAAACATCAGGGTGCTCTACCGGTACTTTTTGTTATAATTTATAAATTGCAATTTATTTAGATTAGGCTCAAGCTTGAATGGTATATTACAGAATATACTTCAATAATGAATGGAGTAAGGGCAAAAATTAAATCTGATTTTATCTACTTGCAACTTTCCACGTGAAGAAATGATCTCAAAAATTGTCTATGCAATGATTTAAGTCTTTAAGATGTGGAGAAGGCTAAAAAAATCTTGTTGGATGAGAAGAGGTATTTTTACAATGGTTGCAGCATCTGATGAGATCACCTGATCATAATCTGTAACCTGCCCAACTGGCTTCTGACAAGCAAGGTCAATTGAGGAAGCTTAACAACTATATGATCCCCTTACCTGTGGTAAAAAAGGTTTGCAAAATTGGGTCTGATCACATGATTGCTTAATATCTACATCAGTGACCAAAATTCCAGAACCAATTGGGGTGGTAAGTAAGGACTACTTGTAATTAGCTTCCTTGCAGCTCCTTCTTGAAACTGACAAGACCCTAATGTTTCACCCCTGTAGCTAGCATGTTAGGCAAATAGCCAGTGTCAGCACATTACTTTGGATGTATATTACCCACTGTGTGGCCGCTTTCAAGAGTAATTCCTTCCTCTCCAATTAAAATTAACAAACATTAATTTTCTTAATAAATCATCATCATCCCAGTGCTGGGGTGAACATTCCACCATGAGGGAATAGAGGAAAAAATGCTAATAAGATTTGCCTTTTACCCGGCTTCCTCAAGTTCTGAAAAACTTTCTTGTAGTTTGGCCTTACCCATCTGTTTGAAGTTGTATCCTTCTATCACTCTAAAACATAGGAAAACTAAAGTACAATCGTAAGTACGGTCATGGTCAGGCATTTTTCCACTTAGTGACCACTTTGCTTATTGACTAAACTGCTGCTCCCAAATGTGGTAGCTAAATGAGAATTATCTTTATAGTGCATACGGTAGTATGTTATTAAATTAAAACAAAAGGGGAGATAAATCATATACTAGCCCTAACCTCTTTGCATTCATTAGGAAATGATAAGGATAATTTTAGATAGTTTATGCTCTCTATAAAAACACAAAGATTAAATATAAAAAAGGCCTACCTCTTTTTGTATTAATAGGGCCACCACGCATTGCTAAGATCAGCTTCAAAGTACATCCTTCTGAAATGCTGTAAACAATCAATCAGACATATTTTGTAAGTTTTTCTTCTAGAAAGAGTGCAGAGAAAAGATGATTAGGAGTTTGGAGGCTAAAACATATGATGAATGGTTGCAGGAACTGGGTATGTCTAATCTAACAAAGAGAAGGACTAGAGGTGACATGATAGCAGTCTTCCAATATTTGAGAAGCTGTCACAAAGAAGAGAGGGACAACTTATTCTCTAAAGTACCCGAAGGCAAGACAAGAAGTTAGCGGGTGGAAACTTATCAAAGAGAAAAATTCTAGATCTAAGGAAAATTTCCTGTTAGTGGGAACAATTAATCAGTGGAATGGCTTGCCCCCAGAAACTGTGGGTGCTCCATCACTGGAGGTTTTTAAGAAGAGAGTGGACAACCACTTGTTCAGAATGGTATAGGGTCTCTTGCTTGGGCAGGATTAGAGCACCTCCAAGGTCACTTCCAACTCTTTTTTAATATAATCAAGAAATATTCAGAAACACTTGAATAATCACATTTGAATACTCACTGGTAATCATTCAAAGAATAGTCATCCTCCAACTCCACATTATTCCAGATTAAATGCTGCTGAGATACAGGGATACCTTGAAATATTAGTAAAATTGAATCGATATATTTACTTTGCAAAACTATGACTAAAATTACTAAAATTGTTATTCATTTGGATATATATTCCTCTGAAATTAGCATATTCTAAATGAAAAACATGATTTTAATTTGTATCATGCAAAACATTCCTGATTTAAACTCCTTATTTTTAGTGCCAGGATTAAATCCAAATAATAGGAAAAATTGTCTTTAAGTAAGGCAGTTAATACCAGTTGATTAGTAGTAAGAAGTAACAACAATCTTACATTACCTCACCAACATCAGGGTTAATTTCATTAACTACTGCCCTACAATTCCTCAAGTTGGTATATGATTGTTCCTTTCATTTTATCCTTGTAGCTCGATGAAGTGGATTAGGCTGCAAGTATTGTAAGACATTTGGTAAAATTCTCTGGGAATTAAGGATTTGAAAATATTTTTTCCAAGTCAGAATAATCCACATTAATCCCAAGTAAGGGCTTGTTAAATTAGTCCTTAGTCATTGTATTTACAATGACATACAGTTTGTAAGTGAGGCATGAAGACAACGATCAGGTTAATGGTCAGTATGCAATATTCTGAGAGAAAATACAGTAATGCTTCTCCTCACTTAATGAAGTAATTTGCAAAATACCAGAATTTTATTCTGCTTTCATTTAATAACATGAGAATACTTAAAAGAACTGTCATAAACCAAGATTGTTATACAATTCATGTACTATAGTATTTGATTGATCACTGCTGTTTTCTAACCTCCTTTCTCATTGATAAGGTAAAAATTTTGTATTTCAACGTTGCTTTGGATTCTTTACATAGGAGAGCTAAAGCTGACAATGAGCTGGTGTGGGTGAAAAATGCTAAGAAATTTCTTTGCATAAGTTGGTATATGTTTAAAACAAAAGAACAGCAATCAGTTTACTAGCTGTCCAACAGGCTGCAAAAAGCAATTGTAAAAAAAAAAAAGTTGAAAAAACACGACTGGTCCTTGAGAGTGACAGTAACTCAGTGAATAATATTTATTTTGCATATTATGATACTAACTGTACTTGCTGAATCCTTATCTCTAAGAAATAGTGAACAACTAGGGAAGAGGCAGATGACCTAAAACTGTCCCTATATTTAAAAGGTTAAAAATAGGATCCAGGGAATGAAGATCAACTCTACAATAAGCTTGGAAAAATCTTGAGTAGAAAATAGAGCAGTATCTTTACAAGCAGTCCTCAACTTGTGATGGAAATTGATATTGGGATTGCTGATGCTAAGTGATACAATCATAAAGTGTGACTTCATGTGGCCACATTGTTTAGCAATACAATCCAGGCAGCCCTGATTTTGGCTGTAACCTTAAGAAACACAAGATATTAAGCAAGAAACAGAGGGAGTCCCAGATAAAGTGTGGGAATGCCACACTTGTGTGGGAAGAGTGAGAGAGGAGTCCCAATGTAGGTTATGCACAAATTGGTGTGTGTGTGTGTGCCTCAGTGCAGCACAAACTCAAAGAAGCTGGGGAAAGAGGGTGCTGGGATGCCTGTGTACGAGTGCAGTGAGGACGAGGGAAGGAAGGTGCTGGGGGTGCATTCCTGTGTGCAAACACCGGGAGGTCCAGGGAAGAAGAATGTTGGTGGATGCATGCCTGTGTGTGGGTACAGGGAGGCCAGGAAGGAGGCTGCTGGTGGGTGTGAGTATGCAAAGGGTGAAAGAGGGTGCTGGTGCATGCAAAGAAAGGATGGGCGGTAGAGGACACATTTACCTGGGCAATTTGTCACATTCCCTGCCAGCTTCCCATTAATTTTGTTAATGGGAAGCTGGTGCAGAAAATCAGCAACAGCAATCATGTGACTGTAGGATGCTGCAACCAATCATAACTTCAAGCTAATTGCCAAGCACTCAAAATATTGTTTATGTGACTGTGGGAGCATGCAACAGCTTGAATTTTGAGGGCTGGTCATTAGTCCCTTTGTTAAGCACCACTGTAATTCCAAACAATTGCTGAATGAATAATTGTAACTTGAGGACTACCTGCATTTCTTGGTTAATTAATTTTCTGGTGTATTGTGGAATTCTGTAGACATAATATGCAGCTCTTAGGTAATAACCATTGGGACTGGGAACTGTCACTAAGTGACAGTCATAAAGTTAAAAAAAAAATGACACAATGCAATGGATAAAAGAAATAAAATAAAAAGTACTCTGTAATAATTACTTATAAATCTATGGTGATAATAAGTGCCTCACTACAATGGAATGGTGAAATTTAGTTCATTTTCATTATATTATCTCACATTTCATGAAAGGTGGCATTTCAAAAATGAATCAATATGATCCATTGCAAGAAAGTTTTTGAGAAGGCTATTTGAAGAAGAAACATTACAGATGGATCTCGCTTATGAATTGCCTTATACAGTGACCAGTTATAATGATGCTGAAAATATAACTCTGCAACAAGGTGTACACTCAGGACCTTTGCAGCATCTTTAAATCACCTATCTGCCATTAGTTAGTTCATATACTGGGCCTGGTCTGTTTTTTCTCCCCTTCCCTCACAGAACAGAGAGGTTGGAGAGAAAGAGATTGTAAGATAGTAAGCAGGTATACAATCAGGTACACACTGAAATGAATGTGCTAGTCTGGCTGTTTGCCTAGTATGCTCGGGCCTGGGAGCATGCTGGTGCTAGAACATTCCTTTGGATCTGTATTTCCTACCATGTGCCTGCTTATACTGCTGTATTCCCTTTCTTTCCAATGAATCTAAATACAAACATTAATTTCCTTTTTGCTAATTATCCCAATGAGCATCTAAAAGGGGGGGGGGGGGAAAGGGAAACCGGAGATAAAATCATAGACAGTTGCGGTCAGTTTCCTTTAGCGACTGCATCACTTAGCAACCAAGTTGCTGGTCTCAGTTGTGATCATTAAATGAGGACTACCTGTGTTTGCTAAAGATATTCTACACAGAACAGTCATTCATCATCCTTACCTCATATTGTTGACAAATGTTATAATTTGAGCTTTAATAAAAATACAAATATTTTTTGCATATTTTGACCCAAGCAATTATATATTTGTTACATCTCCATCCAAATTTATTTCTAGCTCAATATAATTAAAATATTTTATGTTCAAATTTTTGACCAGACATTTAATTCTGTTGGTATTCCTTCTAAAATATCTGAACTTTCAAAACTAAACTCTGATGTAAAAAGAGCATGTACCTTCCAGTCTCTGGATTTTAGCTTTCACAGAAATAACTGTTTCGAAAGGAGACACTCGCAATTCAAAGCATGTTCCTGTAAGAGTTTCAATGAAGAGCTCCATGGTCTCATAGAAAGTAAGTTTGCAGTGACATGATCCAACATTATCCTCATTGAAGAAAGGAGGTTCCTTCTTGCTGGCCATTCTAGTGTTCCTTGTGAAAAAAATCAGTTGGGCGTTATATCTCAATTTTAACTCAAGTGAGCTCTAAGCAGGAAAAACTATGCTTTTGTTCATGTTTCAAGGTTAAGACCAATGGTGGGTTGCCCCTGGTTTGCACCGATTCTATAGAACCGGTAGTAAAACCGGCGGGAGGCTCCGCCCACCGACCCCGACGTCATCCAAATGCTTCTGCGCATGCAGCCCCATTGCGAACTGGTAGTAAAGGTAAATAGAACCCACCCCTGGTTAAGACTAATACAAGATCTGTTGTCATAACATTTAGGAAATAATATTAACATCTATTAAAGCATTCTTTAGTAACTACTAAATAAAGCAAGAAAACAAATTTCAATTAAAGGCAAAAAATGTAAATACCTGTAAATAAATGACTTCTTTCACTGTATTATTAATTTATTATAACAGAATGAGTACACTAAATTTAAAAATTGTCTATGGAGATTCTCAATCATCCAGGTCATGGTTGTATTCAAAAGGCTACTGGACTTTCTTGGTTTTTTTCCCTTGAAAACATTTTGCTTCTCATCTGAGAAGCTTCTTCAGTTTTGGCTGAATGGTGGGGAAATGATGGATTTATATTCCGATTCAGAGCAATTCTTTGCATGAAAATGAGTCTCACTGAAGATAGTTAAGATTTTCCTTACAAAAAAAGACCACTTTGGTGCAAACAACTAAGTAGATGGAAATCTACATTATACTAACGATTGAGGAAACTGAGTCAACTGAGATCAATTTTGTAAAAGATATCTTAAAAACATTTTCTATCCCCAAATTCCTACATGTGTGAAGAACCTAGAAATTTGTAAGATTAGAATACTGCTCCTGGGAAAAGCATTTCCATTAATGTCAACAGCCAATTCCCAAGCAACGAAAATAATCAAGATTGTGTGCTGTAATGATCTATTACAATTGGCAATTCTACAACCACAGAAGATATAAAACTATTAGGTGAACCCTCTAATATTACAAATGGAAGATGTTTGTACTCCTACCAGCTGTGTACTCAGAACATTCTACCTATCCTGACTGGTACAAATTGTTTCCTGTATGCTTTTGTAAAAGCTCTTATTGCAAAATAAGATGCAGAACTGTACTAAAATGTTTGAAACACAGCCAGAATTCAGTTACTGAGCTACAATTGCCTATTTTGGTCTTGCTGATCAATCCCATGCTAAGCACTCTGGAAAATCACATACGTGATTTCACAAACAGTCAAGTAATAGAAAATTGTTATTGTTTCCATGGAACCAAAGAAATTGATATGCTCTTTTGATCTTTCTGCCTTAAGTTAATATATAGGTTTCTGGCATTTTTAGGTGGACTATGACAATCTTATCAGTTGTGTCAAAATGATTCTTGCCCTCCACCATGCATAATCATTATTGCATATATTGCATATATTACCCAAAGGTATTGGGTATTGTCCATTACCCAAAGTTACTTATGTCCTTTATCTAATCACTAGATAGTCCTCGACTTACGACCACAATAGAGTCCAACATTTCTGTTAAGTGAGGCATTTGTTAAGTGATTTTTGCCCCATTTTATGACCTTTCTTGCCACAGTTGTTAAGTGAAACACTGCAGTTGATATATTAGTAACCTGATTGTTAAGTGAATCTAGTTTCCATTAACTTTGCTGGTCAGAAGGTCACAAAAGATGATTTAGATGACCTTGGGACACAGCAACTGACATAAACGTGAACCAGTTGCCAAGCATCTGAATTTTGATCACCCAATCATGGGGATGGCTGCAAAAGTCGTAACTGTGAACAACGGTCATAAGTCACTTTTTCAAGCCCCATTGTAACTTTGAACGGTCACTAAATGAACTGTTGTAACTCGAGGACTACCTGTATATTAACCCTATGTGCTACCAAAAGTTACTTATGTTCTTTATCTCTAATCCTCACTACTGTATATGCCACACTGGAAAAGAAAAGAAAAAAAGCTCCAATGTTTGAGTGTACACAACTATCGAGCAAAAGAACAGGGCCGTTTCTTTACTCAACCCTCCACTCTCCCATCTACAATTACAGAGAATAGGCTAACGTGCAGAATAAATAAGAGCCCCCCAATGATTATTTAACCCAGGTCCGGACTCCATTGGGAGAAACAACCAAGCAGTCAAGTCGCCTTTCCCCACAGGATCGGGAAAATCAAAACTTGCTAGTTTGCGCCCTTTTCCCTTCTTACGGTCAAGGGCGGGAAAAAGGCCCGAAACCCAGGAAATTATAAAAAAGGACGCCAGAAACAAAAGCTTCAAGATGGAAGCGCTGAAATGGAACTAACTGTCTTTTATACAGGGATGGGCTCTTTCGGCCAATTTCGGCCCTCCTTTTGCCAGCAGGCCCTTCGCGGGGAGCCTCTGGATTTCCAGCTCGCCCCGAAGGGAAGAAAGCGGCCTCCCTAATCTAACTCCCAGGCCAACTAAGATAACAGGCCTCACTTCGGAGCCTCCATTGAAGCTTTGTTGGCCACGACGCCTATCGGGACACCGGCTCTTGGGGAACGCTGAGGGGAAAAGAGGAGAAACGGGCGGGCGCGGCCACGCCTGCTTCCCCTCCCCGCCCCCCCCAAGAGGCGGCCAGGTGTGGAGACCCATCCTCCTCACCTGCCGTTTCCCGCCACGCAGGGCCCCGCGGGAGGGGCCGACGCGTCGCCTCCCCCTTTCAGGGAGCTGCCGAGGCAGCCATGGAGCGGAGAAGACGATGGCGAGCGGAAGACATTCAGCCCCACGGGAGGGCCCGTTCCCTCCGCCCGGCGGCGAAGGGGCGGCGCCTGAACCCGTCCTCCCGCCCTTTGTGACGCGATAAACGGGCGAGTCCGGTTGCTTAGAGACGCGGGGATCCGATCCTTGCGCGGCTCGGAAAATGGCGGGAAAAGGCGGCAGCGGCTCTGAGGGGGGGTTAGGCGCCTCAGCTGAGGCAACGCTTCACCGGGGATATTGCGGTATCGGAATCCGGTGCCATCCTTACCGCCTCTCCCTTCCCCACACCTTCTTAGGGCCGGGACGCCTTTCCACCCTTCATTCGTTCGTCGGCCATCCTGAAAGAGGTCTGCAGATCTCGTGCCTGTCCAGAGGGCGACCGCCAATTCGCCTGGCCTTGATGGCTCCTCCGATTTTTTTTTTTTTATTTTTGTTTTAGGCTTTTCCAGCCATCTGATTTAGTGAAAAGATGAACCAGCAGTATGTGCTGAAGCTGCCAAAAAAAGCCAACCCAATCCTAGGCTGCATTAACAGAGGAATAGAATCAAGATCATGTGAACTGTTAATACCGCTTTATAATGCTTTGGTAAGGCCACACTTGGGATAGTGCATCCAGTTTTGGCGGCCAACTAACTAAAAAAACTAAAAAAACAACAAACTAAAACAAAAACTAAAAAAAAGATGTTGAGATTCTGGAAAGAGTGCAGAGAAGAGCAAGGAAGATGATTAGGGGACTGGAGGCTAAAATGTGAACGGTTGCAGGTATTTGGATATGTCCAGTTTAGTGAAAAGAAGGACTAGGTGTGACATAACAGTGGTCCAATATCTGACGGGCTGCCACAAAGAAGCTATTCTCCAAAGCAGCTGAAGGCAGGACAAGAAGCAATGAATGGAAACTAATCAAGGAGAGAAGCAACCTCGAACTAAGGAGAAATTTCCTGACTGTTAGAACAATTAATCAGTGAAACAATTTGCCTCCAGAAGTTGTGAATGCTCCAACACTGAAAGTTTTTAAGAATAGATTGGGCAACCATTTGTTTGAAATGGTATAGGGTTTCCTGCCTGAATAGGGTGTTGGATTAGAAAATCTTCAAGGTCTCTTCCAACTCTGTTACTCTATGCCAGGGGTGTCAAAATTCAAGGCCTGCAGGCCAGTTCTGGCTGCGGGGCTGCCCTGGAAACAGCAAAGGACTGGCCCATGGTGCCTCTGCCAGCAAAAATGGAACTTCGTTTTCGGCCACGTGTGCCCCCCCCCAAGCTCATTTTTGCTGGCAGAGGGCTGCAGAAGGCGCTCACAGCCGAAAATGGAGCCGTGGGCGACCCTCCAGAGCCCTGTTTTCGCCAGTAGAGGGTTGCAGGAAGCCATCACAGCTGAAAACTGACATCGGGAGCCCTTTTTTGCTGGCAGAGTGCTTGGGCCACCACAGGCATCCCTAACATGAGTGACGTCAAGCTATCCATCCACCTCAGCCCCCCAAAGTCAAACACAACCCTGATGTGGCCCTCAATGAAAGTTTGACACCCCTGCTCTATGCTATGTTATGCTATATTATATTCTCTATTCCTTTCTATTCCATTCCATTCTCTCTCCAGACCCTTCTTCTCAGTCACTCTCCAGTGACTTCTTCTCAGTCACTTCTTTTTTTTTTTTTTCTCCTGCAGCTGCAAGTACCCAAAATACTGAGCCTCAATGATACTTCTGCTTGCATCCCTGGAAAGTGATCCAAGTGCCTGCAGGTGTGCACGAGCAGCACCTCCACTTTCCAAACTGAATCCAGAAGTTGCAGGGGAATCTTACGGACAGCAGCGCATGCGGCACTTTTTAAAGTTATCGAATAAAATGAAAATAGAATTGAATGCCTAAAAAAATAACTGTCCAATCTTGTAAAAATAATGTACTATGTTCTCAGTTGATGTAGAATATCTTGCATATTGTGTGAAAACCGGGTAGTCTTAAGATGTACAGTTTTAAGAATGTTCATAACCTAAAATTTTCAGAGAATATTTTCTGGGTTACTTTTACTATGGTTAAAAGACTGTTATTGCAGTATTGGATTGGAAGCCTTGGGTGAATTAACATTTAATTCTTGATGGGGTTGCACTGCCCCAGACAGACCGAAGGCACAACTTTGGGGGTTTTCCCTGGACTCACAACTCCTGCTCAAAGAGCAGGTGGATGTTGTGGTTAGAAGAACCTTTGTGTAACTTCGTGTTGTGTACCAGTTGTGCCCTTTCCTGCACTCAGTCACTCAAGCCTAGTCATCTTATGTTGAACTATTACAATAGTCTCTACATGGGGATATCCTTGAAGAGTATTTGGCAGCTACAGCTGGTGCAGAACGCAGTTGTGCAGATAGTTCTTAGGGCCCCTAGAGTGGCCCATGTTACACCACTGTTCTGCAAACTGCACTGGTTGCCACTTTTGGTTGCCACTTTTGCTTCTGGGTCCAATTCTAGGAGTTGGTTCTTACCTTTAATGCCCTTCATGGCATGGGTTCAGGTTATCTGAGGAACTGCCTCTCCCCAGTGGGATTGGCCCACCCAACTGCGCTGGAGGAGTAGCTGTGAACTCTTGTTAGTCAAGGAATTCTGGCTGTTCAGGAAAAGAGCCTGTTTTGCAGTGGCCCCTGCCCTCTAGAACGTCATGTCCCCCCCCAAGGTGATATTCACACTCACCCTTTTGGCCCTTGAAGGGGTTTGAAGACCTGGCTCAGCCAATTGGAGGTGGTTAATGGACTAAGATAAGACCCCATTTCTTCCTTTTATGCATCTTGCTCCCTTCCTATCTTTGCCAGTTTTAAGCTAATGTTACTAGTTATTTATATTTTAATTGGTTGTACAAGATGATTGACAGCTGTCTAGAGCCACCTCTAGGTAAGATGGGCAGCATATAAGTTAAGCAAATAGGAAAGATAAATGTGTGGCCCCATTTACACAATAAAGTGAAGAACTAATTACACTTGCTATTTAAGAGTGGGCTGCTTATTGATGTGGACTTTATATGAATAAGTATAATGAAATATGGGGCTCATTTGTACAGTATGTAGGTTTAAAAAACCATGATACTCATATAAGTGCATTAGAAACTTATTCAAAACATTTCCTTCTTACCCCTATGGGTGATATATGTTCTTCCACAATCTCTGGAGTATGAGAAGCTGGAGAAATAACAGGGCCTGAAGGAGGAACTAGAGAGGATGTGGAAAGTAAAGACCAAAATGAACCCACAGGTGGTAAGAGCACTCTGGGCTATTAGTCTTAAGTTGGGAGAGTGGCTCTAAGACATCCCAGGAACAACATCAGAACTTTCTGTCCAGAAAAGTGCAGTGTTAAGAACAGCTAAATTACTGTTCAGAACCCTCAAAGTCCCAGGTTTCTTGTGGAAGACCTGAGATTGCGTGAGTAAGAACATCACCTGAAGGTAAGCAGTGCATGGCAGTTTCTGGGGAACGCTTGGCTGTGGGGGCAACTGCACCCTTCCCCAAGGCTTGGCTCTTTGGAAAATGGCATGATGCAGCCTTCTTGAGTGACAACAGGGACACTAGGGCTCAAGTGGAAACCCAGAGTTCCACTTCATGCCAGCCTTCATGCTTTTAATCCAGCCCTTTAAGACACTGGTATGGTTTCCCAGTGTCTGTCACCTCAGCTATCTGTCAATGGTACATCCCATGCACCTCCGTTTAATCTCAGCAGTTCATCTTTGGGTGCTTTCTTACAGATCTACTCCTGGATGCTCTGGGTTTCTTCCAGGACAGTAGCTATGACACTCACCAAATCCCACCTGCCCTCATTGAATCAGAAAGTGTCATACAATAACTTGTGTTTATTAATTTTATTTTATACTGTTCTTCCTCCAGATGGAAGGGTTTAAGGAATAAAAGTTAAATGCTACATTGTGGGGATTTAGGGTTACACATAGATGGACCCAGCTTGTTAGTTTTCTATAACTGCAAGAACTTCAGATGTAAGCCAGTATAACAACTCTCATTGCAGCTTTTTAAGTGTTATTCATCCAATCAATTCAATGAGAAATCATCTTCCTTTTCCTTCAAAGAACGATTTGAATGCATGTACCCTGCTTTTTTGAACAGACTGAATAGTGGAGAAAATGCTTGACATGAAACAATATCCAATAATTGGTGTGAACAATACATTCAACCCAAAATGTGCATTTTTATCACTGCTTGGTGGCGATACTACATTAAGGTAAACAGATTCAACACGAATGGAATTTTGATACGATGCAAAATCAAGTGATCACTCCCAGTTTTTGATGGTTAATTTTATGCAATCCCATACATCTAAGATAAGACATAATTTTCAGGCTAAAATTACCAGAAATTGCTAATGAGGGTATATGTGTGGGAAGGGAAAGCAAACAGTTAAAGCATATATCCGTGATGGCGAACCTATGGCATGGATGCCACAGATGGCACACGGAGCCGTATTCACTGATGGCATCTTTTTAAACTATAATTTGGTTAAAAAAAAAGGGGGGGGGTTTACCTTATTGAAGAAAGGGCTTATCCGTAAGTATATATGGTAGTGAAAAATTCCATTCCATCTAATCCCTTCCCTTCCAGCACAATGAAGTAATCTTTTATCAGTAACCAAGGATATACCCAAAAGGAGAATTCAGATTCTCATAACCATGAGTTATAATCATAAACTTAATTCCAGAAAGTGAGTTTGCTTACAATATAGGAGATCAGAAAATATTGATTTTGTAAGTGCCATTTATCAACATTAAATGTTCTGTAATTTTGATTTATACTATATATACATATTACATTACAAGTAACAAGCTGATTAGGACAATTATTGTTTGCTCAAATAGCTGTTATAACATTTTTTTAAAAAAATGTCACGTGGAGTAAAATAGAGTGAATGAGTCCAGGAATATTCTGTTTTGTCACACTGAGTATTTGATTAGAGAATAAAGGAATTAGCGTTCAGTGACAAATTGAAAATAAATTGTCCAGCAGTCTCTTTATTAGTGCTCTTTAAATGCATTGAGAGGGTCGTCAAAAGTGCTTGCTGTTCTAGGTTCACACTTACTTCCCGAGACTGACTGAACGGTGGTCTTTTTTTGTTGATGACTTGGATTGACTAGCAGGGGAGAAGATATCATCTAAAGAGAAGGAGAAAAATGTTAATCTGTACTTGTGCGTGACCAAAATTGTTTCATAGACATTTTTTAAAAGAAAATGATGAATTACATTTATATTAACAGGAGTACAGGGAAGGATGTTGATAAAAGTCTGCTGGCTCCTAGGCACATTCTTAGCAAAGACATCAATAATGCATTGCTCACAACATGTGGTAGGTCTGAAATAACACAAATGGGAAATCCTAGTGTTGATTGAATTGAAAGGACTCAAGGGTGCAGGAGACTCAAAAGCTTTGAGTGGAGCCCCTTCAAAACAGTGCCTCCAATTTTAATTTCCAATGTACAGAAAAATACAACTATTAAACGTGTTAAGAGTATATCATATTATCTATATTGACTTAAAATCAAACCTAGTATTTGTCCTAGTATTGTATTTTCTGAGAAGTGTACCCTTTATCAGGCCAAATCAGAAGCCAGCTATACCAAGAAAGACAATGTGCCATAGATGTAGTCATTCTTACCAGGGTTGGCTTTTGAATTAACTGAAAATGCTTTAACAAACTGCTACAGTCTCAATAATTACACTCCCACTGGATAGAATATGAATTTTCAAAAATGTGAATTTCAAAGATACACTGTGGAATCTAGTTTGAACCAACACTATTAAGAGAGCAAGCCCACATTAGGTTCGTGAAGCACAAGTGTTTTTCCACCTCTTTCTTGGCATATATCGTACTCTTCCCTGATGGAAGATAATCTCTTCCTATCGAGGCTCAACATTTCTAACAAAAAATAGGATTAGTCATGATCCTTCTGTGTATCTGAAGAAATACATTAAATATTCTGACATCCTCCCAATCCAAGGCAGGCATTTTTTTAAAAAAATTATAAAATCTTTACCTAATTCTTTCTCGACTTATTTGTATAGAGATATACTTGTCAGTGAATTGCAGATCTTTGTCCAAATATTACAATTTTTTTACCTGTGTCCTCATCAAATATAGATACAGCTTCCATTTTCTTTCTGGTACTCTTTTCCTTTGATTTTACAGCAAGATCAGCAAAGATATCAACATCATCATCAAACAAATTGACTTCCACCTCTTTTGTTTTGTCTGGCAGCTTAACAGTTTCTACTGCAAATATATCGTCCTTGAATAAAGAAAAGGATTACTTAGTATAAAAATGATATTTGGAGGCATATATTTTCTCTGGTTAGTGCTTGTAAAATAAAATACAGGTAGCTCTCATTTTCTGCATCTAAGCTTCAGAAATCAGTTCTGCTAAGCGGCTAGTTCTATGTTGTTGTAAATCTGAATATGAACTATTCTAATTTGAAACTTGGAAAGTATTTAGGAATATGAGTGGTAAATAAGAATATCATCTCTTCAGCCTGCCAAATATGGTTCCATAAAATGATTCCATTCATTTAATTCATTGAATTTAATTCCTTTAATTCCTCACCCCACAAACACATCATTTAAGATTAAAGCTAACACAAACTAATATAAAGTAAGAAAGAGAACAAACAGAACAAAATCAAAGAAAAAGCAAGAAGTGTAAGAAATGAAAACAAGTTGAAGAAAACTAAAAAAAGGAAAAAGATATAAAGAAATGGCTCCCAATATTATTCACAGCAGTTATAAATATAAATATATTTTAACTTTCCTCTTGAAAGTTACATCATCTTATGCTTCTTTTTATAATTTATCCTATTTAATCAACAAAAGCATAAATCATAACTTCATTTTTTTAAAAAAATTATGCATAAAGTCCATAAGTGGCTTCTAGTTGTCAATAAGGCTTGATTTCTCATGAATGAATAGCAGGTATATCTGACTGTTGGCTGGGAATCTTTTTGGTCTATGGATTTTGAGAAAGTGGACAGGACATCCCTGCCACTTTTAAGCTTGACCAATATCCTTCTTGGATGCTTCAGGGAATAGTGCAGATGTGACAAACTGGATTCAGGAGATTGTCAATGCCTTCCTTTGGGTAAGGCTTTAAATCTGCAGCCTTGACGCAAACTGTAGTATGCCCCCTCAAGATACCCTCTCTGAATCTAACTCTGATCATCTCTAATCTTTCCTTTTTAGGAAACAATATTGATATGTGGTTAGAAGCAGCTGATTATTTGTATCCTATTCAGGACAGTCTCAGGCGTTATTTGGAGCTTTTTAAAAATGATTTAGCACAACTGGAGAGGTTGCTAATGAATGATTAAAAAAATCCAAACCTATCCCATCTTTCCTTATTCACTTTTTGGTCACCATTTAAACAAACCATATTCATCCCAAGTGGTTTCCCCCATCACTCTAATGCCTGTGGAATAAACAAAAACAGCACAATACAAAGTTAGAAGAATCCAAGGCTGAAGAGAAAAACTTTCAAAATTACCTCAAAAATGTCTTGGATTGGGAAATTTTGATGTAATTGAGATGGGAGCTCCTGTTCTTTTCTCTTCACAGTTTTCTTACTGGTGATGAAGACATCCTGTTTTTCTTCTGGGAAAGGCACCGGACTTAATTTCCTTAATGTCTTTCTAGAGTGAAAGAGGTCTGTACCCTCTTGAGCAGCAGGAAACAGCTCCTCCCTTTTTGCAACCTGGCTTACAATGCCCTTAGCTTCCAGTGTTGCTTTAGAGTTGCTATCCTTAGTGAAAAGGTTGTTGGACTCGAAGAGATCATTCACATCGGAATAGGCTGTCGGTTTTAAAAGAGGGCTACCTTTTGACTCATTGGATTGGTTGCTGCTGTTGGTTGATGGAACCAAGCAAGCTTTTTCAGTATTTTTCTTTCTACGCAGTTCGCTATGATGTAATATAGTGGGTGGCCCAGAGTTCCCTTTTATGATA